AATGCGATAAATTTTATCCATTCCTATTGCATCAAAAAGTCTATAAAGCTTCTTTGCTTTTTCGATTCTCTTACGTAAAAGGCTATCAGAAGTGTCTGCAGGTAGCTGTGCTTTTACTTCTTTATTTAAAATTCTACTAACAATATTAGATTCTAGATCAACTTGTTGTTCCGATGCTATTTCATTACGTCTTTGAATAAGAGCCTTTCCAAATAGGTAATAACACATGATAGCTTCTTGGGTTTTACGATCAGCAAGAATTATGGCATCACAAAGTTTTTCATATAAAAGCGTAAAGTTAGTATTGCTGGGTTAAAATTTTGTTTCATTCGAGGTTGCAGAAGTTACGTCCCTATTTAATTGTGAACTAGAGCTTCCAGAAACTTCCGACATAAATTTCTGTACTTTGTTTTTATTAGATTGCGAAATATCTTTATCATATGATAAAGGGTCTTGAGATCTGAACCTATTTTCCCGATTTCTTTCTCTTATTTCGTTACTAATCTTTTTCCTATCCTCTAATAATTTAGTTTCTGTGCAGATAGATGATGCAGATTCTGAGCTTTTCTCAATTTTGCTGAGATTAGATGTAGCAGAAGTGATATTTATTTCTCACTGATAAATTACAGGTAATCCTGAACAAACTGAAGGTGGCAAAATATCTTTTGTGGAAGATTCATTGGTGATAACCTGGATCCGTTTTTGTTCTAATTTGGTAACTCTGTTTTTAAGCTCAATATTTTCAGCAATAAGGATGGCAGTATCTGTTTTATTTTTCTTTTCTAGCTTTTCAAACCTGGTTTTAAGCCCAGTACTTTCTTCTGTAATATGTCTTAGCTTCACATTCTCAGCCTCGACCTTGGTATATTTTTTTCTAAGTTCACTAATTTCGGCTACGAGCTTAGAATTCTGTTCTTCTAATGAATCGATTTTAGATTGTGTGTTTGCCATTGTATTTATATAAGATAGAGAAATATTCAAAAGCTTAATAAAAATTACAT